ACACACACACACACACACGTATATAAGTATATATGTATTTACATATATACTTCCCTACCTTTCTCATTGTACTTAGTATTTTTCATTTTCTTCTATGGCCTAAGCTCATATTTGAATGACTGGTCATGTTTTTGGTTTGTTTGTTTCTTCCTCCTCCGCCACATTGTTGTCTAAATGATTTATCCCTCGTCTAAATTTTTCCTGGCAGAAAACATTTCTTCAGTCCATCTCTGTCTCCGTTGTCAGCATATTTAGTTCTTGCTTTCTATTTAGCAGCTATGCATGGCTTTTATTCATCAATCATTGTCCCACAAGGTTTATTCTTGGTTTTGTTTTTTTTTTTAATCTCATTCTTGGAAAGAGTCGTAGTTACAAAATCCTTTGTCTTTAGCTTTTGAAAAACAGAGTAGAAGCAACTTATATTCTTTGCAATTTCAACCCATCTAAATAAGATACTACTAAAAACCAAACTCTCATATTTTTCCCCATAAGAGGTAGTCAGTGTAACTATAAATCATGCAAACACATTTTGAAATATATCAAGTCATTAATTTAAATTTCATAATGTTAACTTAAAAAATAATACTATAAACTACCTAGGAATAAATTTTTGTTCTAGGATAATATGGTTAAGAAAATAATCTAATGAATATCATAGTGTTTGTACAATATCAGTTAGTGGTAGGGGGTTTAGTATTTTGGGGATATCTGTATCATCTCTCATAATCCTCACCCCATGAGAAGATGCGGCAACTTTGGGGTTTGAATCTATATCTGAATGATACTAAACTTGTGTTCTTTGTGTTGGGTTATATAGAAATGGTAAATATTGCCATTGTTTTATCAAATTTGATTTTTGTTGTTCTTATTTTTTTTTTCTAGAATGTCCCAAAAATAGATGTCACAAAGCTAATAAAGACTTGTCCTCTTTGGCAATCTACAGAAATTCGTAAGCTATTTGAAAACTGCCTATTCTTGTGTTTTTCATTGATTCAAAGTTACAAATATTTTAATGTACTCTTTACTTTGTTTTTTACTGTAGAACAAGCAAAATATTACATTCAGAGACCAGAAAGTAAAACCTTGCTTGAGGTCAGTAATTTTTTGAAGGATTTTATGTATTTTTAATTGAAATGTATTGATTGTATATATTTATTGGATACAGAATAATATTTCAATACATGTATACAATGTGTAATCATCAAATCAGGATAGGTAACACATTCATCATTGCAAGAATTTATTGTTTCTTTGTGATAAGAACATTCATGCTCCTCTCTTCTGTACATTTGAGAACAAACAATAAGTTATTGTTTATGATGCCTGGCACTACTCTACAGCACTAGAACTTATTTTTTATATCTAGCTATAATTATATCCATTAACCAAACTCTCACTGTTCCCACTACCCCCAGCCCTTCCTAGCCTCTAGTATCCACAATTCTATTCTCTACTTCCAAAAGTTCAACTTTTTTTTAAAGCTTCCACATATGAGTGAGAACATGTAGACCAATGTCTTGGAGTGTTTGCCCTATGTTTTCTTCTAGTAATCTAGTAGTTTTAGAGTTTCAAGTTTTATGTTTAAGTCTTTAATCCATGTTGAGTTGGTTTTAGTATGTGGAGAGGTATAGGGGTGTGGTTTCTTTCTACCCATATGACTATCCAGTTTTCACTGCAGCATTTATTGATGAGTTGATCCTTTTCCCAATGTATGTTCTTGGTGCCTTTGTCAAAAAGCAGTTGGCTGTAAATTTGTGGATTTATTTCTGGGTTCTCTATTCTGTTCCATTGTTCCATGGGTTTTTTTTTT